GGGGGGCCCCCCTGCCAGCTCCGGCTCTGCCAGTGCCCCCCCCCAGCCCCGTGAAAGCATTTTAATCAGAAGCTACGGAGCTAAATTGCGTTTCTCCAGCCTCAGCCTCCAAGGCGCAGCCCCGGCCCTGCCGAGCTTTCCCCTGCCGAGCACATTTTAAGCAGCTCCCCAGTGAAAAGCACCGGCGGCGGGGGATGCTCTGGGTGGGCAGGGGCACCCAGGGGACCCCAGCTCTGTTCCCCAGGGCTGCCAGGCGCCCGTTACTCAGCCGACGCAGGGACATCTCCCAAATTCCTGTTGGAAGGGGGCCGTCAGGCACTTTTACTAAGGCTGATGCATCTCCTGAGGGATTTCACCCCGGTCCTGCCCCGTGCACCCAGCGAGCAGCCCCCTGGCAACACCGAGGGCGCCTTCCCCCCCCTCCGCCATGGTTCCTAGCACATCGCGTGCCCCAGCTGCATGGTCCTTCCGAGAAGCTTCAACACAGCCACCTTACAGCGTCTCCTTCCCTTCCCCACCAAGAGGAGGTGCTTTTCAGAGCTGGGTCTTCGTTCCGTTTAAGCACCAGGTTGGGCTGGGAGCGGGAGAGACGGGAACAAGAGGCTCTGCCCTCCAGGTTTGCACAATGCATTTCTCCTTCCACTTACACGGTGCGCTTGGCCTAAAAAGAGAGGAACAAAAAACCTTGCAGTAATATTTACAAGCAAATTAGGCAGAGAACTGAGCTGGACATCACTGGAATACCAGCAAAGAGTCAGCTGGGCTTGGGGCGGGGAGGGGGCGTTCCTGATTTTCCTTGGAAATTAAAACTGCGACAGGCGGCTGCCGGAGCTGCCCCCTGGGACTCCAGAGCATAGCCCTGCTCCCAACCTGCCCCCTCTTTGCAACCTCCCTGGGACCACTGGGTTTATCTCCAGTTTATAAAGTGACTGCTGAGAGAGGTGGGGGCAACAGCATCTTCTTCCCCCACAAAAGAACGGGGTTTGAATTCCTGTGCCATGGGATTAGAAAAAAAAAAAAATCAAAGCTACGCTCGAAAGAAATAACAATTGCCATTTATTTATACTTAGCAGCGCTCCCTCGTGCAAACCTCAGCCCAAATGCCATTTCCAATAACACAACAAATTTTACAGTCCATAAAACTCTGTGCACCAAGGGGGGGGGGCGGGGAGGAAAAAAGCCCAACACGGAATCGCTTGCTCCTTCCCCGCGCCGCTTCACAGCATCGCTGTTTCCCACCTTGCCAGACCCCGGCCCCGCATCTCCCAGGCTCAGCGAGCCGGGGCCGGTCCCAGGAGCGGGGGTCGAGGCAGCCCCGCAGCCCCAAGGAGGCTTCGGGCTGATTTACCGTGGGAGCGCTCCGTGCCAGCAGATCGCCGTGCCCGCCGTCGCCCCGGTTATCCGTCAAACCAGCAGCTCGCTTTCGGAGTGCTGGTCCCCCGTCAGTCAGGAGTTATAGATCTACCCAGCCAAGTACGCGGGGGAATAATTGTGTGTTTGCTGCTCAGCCCTCTGAAATTCAAGGAGAAAATGAGATTTTGCTTGCTTGCTTTAGATCATGGGGTGTTCTTCCCTGCTGGGCTTATTTCAAAAGCCCCACTCCTCCCGTTCAGCTGCCAAACAAGTGCAGGGAGCTACCGGCGGCGTTACGACCGGCGCCCCTGGGGCTGGGGGATCGGCCCCTCGGCTGGCCGGCCCAGAGAGAAGTGGATTTGCAAAGCCTCACGACTTCACACACGGTTTTAAATAGCGCCTGGGTAAGAAGCACACTCCAGCCGAACGGAGACGCTCCCCTGGCTGCATTTAATCTCATTAACCCAGGAGCTGTTTGTGCGGGTTTGCTCAGCCCTCGCAGCGGAGGGAACGCGGCTGCAGCAGCCGGCAGGGAAGCTGCCTTCAAACACGGCTGAGATCAACCTCTCTGCTTTGACCGCCCCCGAGCAGGCAAACCCCTCCAAAAAAAATAAATTCCCCCAAGCAAACTCCTGTTTCTTTGGAATGAGGCAAGGAGCTCCCAGAAGCGCCGGCCCCTCGAGCAGGCGACGCTCGGCACGGCCAGGCGGCCGCTTCTGCGGAGCCCGAGCACGCAGCCCCCTGCGCCTTCGGGCAAAACACGGCGAAAATTTGCCGGCTCTCCCGCTTGGGAGCCAACCTCCGCTCCTCCTGCAGAAGAGCAGGAGCAAGGAGAAGGGAAGGAGCTGGGAAAGGGGTTTGCTCCCAGAGGAAGGATGGCAAGGGCAGGGGCAGCTCCAGCGCGGCAGAAAGCAGGATTTACAGCCCTCTGCCGCAGCCTTTCGCACCCGTATCGCGCCTCCAGCCAGACCGACTGAACTGAAGTGCTTCTTGGAACGAGCGGCCACCCGAGCCTTATTTACGCCAGGATCTTCCGAGTGACAGCACGAATAAACACCAGCAAAGAGGAGGCGTGCACGACCCCACGGCAGCCTGGCTGGGACAAAGGCACAACCCGCCTCTGCCAGAACTTGCTCGCCCTCCGAAAAAGTTCGCCATCCTCTGTCTCCCCTGGGCCTTCCCTAATGCGACCGTGCAGCTCCCCCACCACCTCCCTTTGGCCCTACCCAGGCTCTGGGCAGATGCCGGGGCTCAGACCCCAAGCCCCTCAGGAGCACTGCGCGACGGAGACGCTTCAAGCCCAGGTCTGGCTCCTCGGTCAGCAAAAGGCAAACCCGGGTGCTTGGTGGCATCCTGCAAGGGCCGAGCGCGGCAGGGACAGGGCAGAGCTCCCTCCGGATCCTGCCGACGCCGAAAAGCAGGCAGGAGCCCTTCGGCTCCTCTCTTGGCCGTGCCGGGGAGGCTAAAGCATCGCAGCCCTTGCAAATGGCTTCTGTGCCGAGCTGTGGGCCTGCAGCTTTTCCTGCCGCTGCCCGATTCCTCCTCCACTCTCTAGATGTCCTTGCTTGCTAAAGAAGACTTTAAAGCAAAAAAGCAAAAAAAAAGAAAAAAACCCAACCCAAACCCAAACTCCATTCCAGATGGTCTGGAGGAAAACTCATGTAATTTGCCAGAAAGCTAGGATTTGGCTTTCTCAGTCCTGAATTTCGAGCTCAGAAAGGTCAGACCTCCCATAGAGACAACTGCAGCGCACTCCACTCTTTTTCTCATCGCTCGATTCACAAGGTTTGCAATTCCAGCTCATTACCCAAACCCAAGACTGCTGCGCTCTTGTCAAATCCACTCCCGGCTCCTGCTTTCTGCCTCTTGTCAAGCCGAGACCACATACGCGGGGCAGGCGGGAGGCCGGGGCTGCGGCAGGGCTCTCCGCAGCAGCTGAATTCCGACCCAGCCTCATGGCCATAGGGTCAGACCCCGTCCTCTCACCGCCCCGGCAAAGGCAGGGGAAGGACAAGGAGAGGCGTCCCACGGAGCGGGTTAGCCAGTGTCTGAATAACGCCAAGATTTTTGGTGCAGAACGTGAGAAAAGAGCAAGTCAGGCGCTCTCTTGAACTTCAGCGGTGCTGGAGGGGGCCCGCTGGGCCACGTCTCGGCCAGCCCAGCCCAGTCCCACCCGTCTGTCTCCAGCAGCTCTGCCCCAGCATCCCCCTTCTCTGCTGTTGGGATCTTCAGGGCATGAACAAACCCGACCCGTTTTGGTCCTTGTAGGAGTTGGTGCTTGCAAGAGCTCCGCTCTGGGGCCACAGCTGGATGGATGGATGCCTTCTCAGCACTCGCTTCTTGAGATTCTGAGTATTTGTCACTTCTTTCCCACCTGGAAATATTCAGGAACCTCCTTTCAGGTGCTCCATCTGCATTCCCAGATCCTCCAGACACTACCGGGGTGGCGACCTGAATCAGAAACAACATCTCACAACCATCAGACGCTCCCGCCGGATGCTTTTGTCGTCTTCTCCCAGAGCTGGGCACCACGAGCACAGCGTACTGGGCGGCCGCTCCGCCAGCTCATTTACTCTGAAGGCAACAGCTCCCACAAAGCGTTTACAACACCCATCCAGCATTTTCTCTGCTCTTAGAATACCAGTAAAGAGCCCTGCTCAGTACAAGACAAGCCATGGGTTCGGCTCGCGCAGCTGCTGCATTGGTTTGTCCTCTTGCACGTCACCATAACCCTGCTGCCTCATCCCCAAGCCCCAAATCAGCCCCGAGAGGCTCTGATCCCAGGGACAGAGAGGTGGGGATGCTACGGGCTGCAGGACCTGCTACTCCAGGGCTGCCCACACCCAAGAAATCGTGCCTGTGTTCCCCGAGTGTCGACGAGGTCGAAGAGCAATCTCCCCGCCGCACCCCACGCCGGGCAGGGCCGGTTTCCCTCTCAACACTTCACGCAAGAGGTGAACGAGAAAAGACCAAAGAGAAACCAAAAGAAACAGCGCAGCCCAGTTCTGAAGCCCGGTTCTGAAGCCGGCGTCACATTTTCCAGGACAGGGCGAAGGCTTAGAAGTGACGCTCGCGCACCGGAGGGAAGCTGCCGGAAGCGGCGCTGGCTGGAAGGAGCCAGCGTTGCGTAGCCCCGGAGCTGCCGACCACGAGCACCTGATGGCAGAGCACCTGATGGGCTCCAGCAGAAAGGCGCGCTGGAAACACGAGGGGTGCTCCTCAGCGGCGTGGCAGAACGCTGGCAGGGTGCCCCGGAGGGTCCTGAGCTCCGGCGTTAAAAGCATTTACGAAAGATTGCAAGGATCTGCTCTGATGGTTCGTCCCGGTGACATACAGGGAAAATCAACTTTTAGAAATCAAAGCCTCATGCGGGAAGCAGATGTGCCAGCAGTGATAAGGCAAAGCAAGAACCCAAATTTCAGCTTTGCGCAGATTAGACATTAAAATGAACTCAGTTATTTCATGCCATATGCAAATCTTTACCAGCTGTCAGCTCTGTAGTCACCAGAGACGAAATGTAATAACTAAACGAGAACAAAAACGCAGCGAGGATCGGGTTCTGCGGAAGCCTGGTTATGAGCAGGCTCCTGCCCCGGGGAGCCCGCTGCCCACGGCTGGCAAGGCACGTGGCCCAAAGGCCAGCAGGAGCCTCAATTAAACGTCTGCAAATAAAGTAACTACAAAAAAATGAGGCTGCTGCTTACTCCTGACATGCAAGGCTTCGCAGGCGAGCTGCCGGTTTGTGCGCGATCTGTCACTAATTTGTAGGGGGACTAATGAGTGACCGAGCCCTCCCGGAGCGGAGGCCAGGTAGCCACCAGGCATCTTCCCAGCCCACAGCTCAACTGGAGAGCAAAGGCCCCCCCCCATCCTCGGGCTGTCTCTGCTGGCCCTGGATACACAACACAGATGTGGCATCAGCCAGGAGCACAGACAAAGGAGGAACATTCCTGTTTCCCAGTAGAGTAAAAAGCCCTGGAACGCTGATCCCCACCAAAGCAGAGAGCAGCACTGCTGGCCGAACCACGGCCCCGTCCCTGGGGGAGCTGCACTCAATTATGACCCAGCCTTGGCCGCTGACCAAAACCTTCAGCAAGCACCAGCTCCACTGAAGGAATTCCACAGACCTCTTCGCTCTTGCCTCGAAGCCATTTGCCCCGTCTGGGAAAAATGGCAATCTTAGAAATGCATCCAAAACGGACAGACCTCTGAGAAAAGGGAAGCACCTCGCTGCTCCGTGGCTCCGCCAGCCAAAGCAATGGATGTGCCAAGCCCTTCGGGACCCAAATTGCACCCCCGCCGCCCACGCTGTGAGCTGGGGTTTAGGCTCGCCCGGCGGTAGCTGATCCTCAGAGCGCAGATGCAATCTGCAGCTTCTGGAGACGGGGGAAAGGCAGGCGGGGAGGGCAGAGCGAGGGAGGGCAGGGAGCCAGAGCCGGCCAGGGGCTGACACCCACCGCTGCGGGGAGCGGGGGGCAGGCAGAGGGGTGCAGGCGTGCCATTCCGGTACCGGAAAGCAGGTAACGAGTTGGCTATGAGACAAGAAACGATACCGAGGGTGCTTCGTCAGATCACAGATCACACAGATCACCAGCGCTGACGGACGAGGCGCACGCCTGCCCTAGCTGCACCATATGCATTTCCACGGCCTCCGCATTGCGTCCCTGGGGAAAGGCGCAGCTCGGCTCTGCTCCACCCGCATCCCGTAGGACAAGGCGGGGATGGAGCCGGCACGGGAGCATCAGCACAGCACGCTCAGCTTTTCCCATCCCTTCACCCAGCCCCGAGTGGAGCCTGCCGCAGCCCACCCCGGCGTCGCCCCTTTGGGGAACGGGCAGCCAGCAGCGAGGGCTCAGGGAGGGATGGGGTGAGCCCAGCGCGGGGCCGGGGCTCTGCTGGCATCGGCAGAGAAGAGCCACAGGTGTACGGTGCAGCGAGGAGCTTCCATGCAACACCCGAGAGCTTGCGAAAGCAGCTCACGGCGCTCGCCCTCCATACCAGCACGGAGAGAGATGTGGAGCTCCTGCTCCAGCCCAGCCTCTTCCCGCTGAAAGCCATAAAGCCCCACAGATTTAAGATTCCATCTCCAAAGTAATTAAATCCAGGCGTACAAAGTGAAATGTTTAACAACTCTGAGCTTTGCGGAGCGCTGGAGGACCCTGATAAAGATGGAGTTACACTGCTGGTAGTAAACAGGGGCTGTTCTCTGCGCTGTTACTGGCAGGGGGGAGAAGGGAGCCCGAGTTTTAATTTGGGGGAATTTCAGAGGACGCATTTTATTTAGCAGCATGCAGGAAAACAGAGTGCCATGGAAAGCTGTGAACCACACACACTCTTTTTTTCCCGTATTTCCAAGAGGGCTCTCGAGTCGGCGCCTGAGCTCTGCTGAGAAGAACACAGATTGCTTTGCAAACCTGCTTCTTCCAGCTCTTTCCTCGCTTGTTTCTGAGTGTAGGTGCTGGGAAAACAGTCTGCTTTGGTTTGTATTTTTAACAGTCAGCACATGTAAAGAGCTGCTTGAATACCCCAGGCTCCAGGAGCCTTTGGAAACTTAGATTCACAGAGAAGCAAAGCCAGAGCGGCCGGCAGTTACAGAGGCCTCTGCTCCAGAGCCCCTGCTTCGCTTCCAGGGATTTAGGAACTTAAATAGCTCTTAAAGACTGCGCTCTGGGAGCACCCTTGCTATCAAACACTGCCCAGGGCAGCCCCAGCTGAGCAGAGACCTTCGCAGGCAGCCTGCACCGGTCAAAAGACTGAAATGTTGGTGATCAGCCCAGGACCAGGACACACTGGCCTCCAGCACCCAGCCTGGACTGGGCTTGCTCGCAGCCCCCCAAGCATCCCCCCACACCCCTGCCATCCCATCCAGCTGCCTCTCCAGCATCCCTGCACTGGCTGCCGTTACCATGGTGACCGAGCATCGTCCCCTCTCCTGGTACCTTTAAGGAAAAATGTCGCCCTGTTCAGCAGTCACCCGTGGCCCTCCGTAGCACACGGCTGTCCCCAGGCCACTCGCAGATTCTGCCTCTCCCCTGGCCGCATCCTGCGCCCAGGGCTCTGGTGGGCAGCAGCAGGACATCCTGGTCCCTCAAGCTGAAGCAGGCAGGACAGGGAGAGCTGCCTGGGAGGAAGCACCGCCAGCCGGCCAACACCGATGGCTCCACTCTCAGCTGCCAGAAGCCTCCTGCAGCTGAACATCACCAAGAAAAAAAAAAATAAATAAAGCAAGAGTAATGAGGACCAAGTCATTCCCAGATCTAAACTGTGTGGGTTTTTAAAGTCAGGACCAAGAAGGGAAGAGCTTGAGGGCATCCGAGACTAGAAGAGGATCCCCTGAGCACAGAGCACCCAAGCATGGTGCCTGTGGCCACCAGGGCCACCACTGCCTGCAGCCAATGGCCCAGACATCCCCCCAAGCACAGGCACAAGCCCCCGGCGGTGCCACCCTCATGCTCCCCACCCACGGGAAGGGCCACCTTCAGCCAAGTCTGTCCTACCACCGCATTAGCGAGGAGAAGTGCCGCCCCCGAGTCCGACAAGCTGTTGCCTTGCCCTCCCAAATCTCAGCGGGACACCCGCTAAGCTCTGACAGCTGTCAGTGCCTTTGCAGGGGGCGAGCCGAGAATCTTACAAGGTAAAATAGCTCCTTTTGTAATCTGCTCCTACAAAACACCTACCCTCTTGCCTGTTTTAGCCTGCCTTGTCCTAGATTATAAGCCCTGGAGACAGCAAGCGTGCAGGGTTTTAACTATTAAGCGATGCATCTTGCAAACGTGTCCCTGCTGCGACACAGACAGCTCTCCACCCTTCTCTGCCAGGCTGCGCAGCGAGCGCTGCCCCGATCTGACTCCTCCTCTGGCACCTGGAAAGGACCAGGAGGTTGTTTGCACCCCAGCGTGGCTACCAGGGAGCTGCTCATCCTCGTGCCGCGTCCTAAGCGGGTTTCCGTGCTCCCCAAAACCCAGTCAGAGACCGATTAAGCTAGGCGCAGCGTGCCAAGAGGATGGACAGCGGGAACACGCGCCTGCATAGACTTTGACGCTAAATCCCTCTTAACAAGCATCGCTTTTGTGCGTTTTTAGCTGAACACCCCCCACACACACTCAGCCAGAGGAGCAGGGAGGTCAAAGCAAGAGATTAGCTAAGCACCTTACCCCAGAAGCCCTCGTTATCCCAGGAGGTCTCCACTACCTCCTGGAATCAATTAAATGGACTGGAGCTGGGGATACCTGGCACTTCACAGGATCAAAACGCAGAGAGGAGAAGGCGGGAGGCAATTCCCCTTCTGGTACTGACATGCAAATCATAGCTGCAGTAGTTCATGGGCTTAATATATTTCCAGATTAGTCAAGTGTATGTGGCAGTTAGTCCCAAATGACTCTTATTACAGAGTCACCATTCCCACCTCGGCTCTGAGGACAGGCTGGAGACGAGCGTGCAGCTACTCGCCTTACTCCTCTCCCAAGCCCCCTCTGAGGCCGGGCTCCCATGGAGTTTGGGGACTGGGAGTAAATGGCTGAGAAGTCCCTGATGAGGGTCAGTGGTAGAGGCAGACTGAGGGCCCTGAGAAACGTCCTCTTCAACCTCGGGATCATGTATGACTGCAGCTTTCTACAGCCCTCAGCTTCTGTAGCGCCAACGTTTCTTACTCCGAGGCAGGACAGCCAGCAAGAACAGGAACTGCCACGAGAAACAATGTTCTCTCCCCCCAAATACGTTGGGTTTTTTCCAAGTTTTCAGCTTTGCTCCCCGTTCTCCACAGCTCCCAGCACCATGACTGAAAACTCTTCACAAGTGCTACAACGGGGAGGCATCCCAAGCGCTGCCATTTCCACCTGGGGACGGTACCAGCCTGTGCCGCCTGCTGTGAATGGTTATTTCTGTGCCCCGCAGCCTTCCAGACCTTCAAACCAGCGCAGCTGATTGAAAAAAACGTGCTGACCACAAGAGCAATAATGAAAGAGCTTTTCTTCCAGGCAGATGGGACTCCTTATTCCCTTCCTCCCTCGAAATCGCATCCCTCATTACGCCCAGACATTGCAGAGCGGCCTTGCTCGGGACCTGCTGGTTGAAACGAGCTTACTGGTCTGATGTCCCAGCTTAGCTGAACCAACGTCGCGCTCAGCTGCAGCACTGCTTTGAAAGTTTTCCTTTTGTCCATTTATTCCCAGTGCCGCAAACCAATCTGTCTGAGCAGCTCGTTCCTCGTTATTCGTTAAGAGAGCCAAAGCAGCCCTCTGTTCCTGCACCCTCTCAGAGCTTTGTTTGAGCTATCTATTCGGTCTTCTGTTTGTGCTTCGCAGTGTTTGCACCGAGAGCTTGAAATTGTTCACTTAGCCTTGAACCCCCCCTCACTCCGTGTCTTTGGTTTGCAGCTAGAAGTAATCACCGCCAGTGCAATCTAGCTCTTGCTTTTTGCTTACCCTTCTATTTTCTCTTTAATTAAAAATCCCTTTGGTCTTTGCACTGCTCACTAGCACTTGGATCCAGGACGTGGTTTCTGTTTGCCTTGCAAACGGCGCAGCAGAGAATGTCAAAACCGTTTTTCACAGCAACCTTGCTTTGACCTGGGTGACAGCTTTACCGCCAGGCATTTGATCTCTTCACTTGCCCATCTGTTCATCGATTAAAACCCCTCACTTCAATAGGCAATGCTGTCTCTGCATCCAGTAGCTTCTCTGGAGAACAAGACCCTCCTACGGGCAAGGAGCCTTTCCCAAGTGCAGCTCCTCAAACAGATCACTGCCTCCTCACTGCCTTGCTTTAACCCAATGACTCAAGGGCAACCAGTAGCCAGCAAGCCCAAGAGCACAGGAAAGAAAAAGAGGTGAAACCCGGGCTGGAGGGGGACAAAGAGAGCCACCAGGCAAGAGCACAGGAAAGAAAAAGAGGTGAAACCCGGGCTGGAGGGGGACAAAGAGAGCCACCAGGCAAGAACACAGGAAAGAAAAAGAGGTGAAACCCGGGCTGGAGGGGGACAAAGAGAAGCCACCAGGCAAGGCTCACGGGGGACGCTGGGCCTGCAGCGTTGCACCTTCAGTTGCCCGGCAGCATGGCCGGACTCGAGACTGGAAGGGGAGGGCAGATAAGTCCTTCATTCTGCAAAGATTTTTTTTTTATATTTTTTCCTTTTAACATATGGCCCAGGAAAGCCAGAAAGAAGCAACGCTAACATTTCTGCCTTATCACATCTTCCAAATTTATGTCAGGTAAGATTATCACAAGGGTCAGCCCAACAGCCACCCTCAGCCACAGCACAGTGCAAGCTTCAGGGAAAGGCAAGGTCTGTGCTGCCAGCCGCCGTCACACCTCATCAGCAATTGATCCCCAAAACCTCCTCAGCACACAGAAAGGCGATTTTTATCCCAGCACAAACAGTTCCAAAAGGAAACCAGAGCCTTACTCAACCTTAAAATATGTTTTTTGTGATCACTGTCTCTAAAAGCAGAAAGCGTAAAGGTCCAGGGGAGAGACTGCAGCACGCTGGGAGGTTTCTACGGAGCAGCGAAATGAGTC